AGTAGTTGTTTACATTTTGTTCGTGACAGTCGGCATCGCTCGGTGAGTACCAATGCCATCATTATGCGAGAATGAGTAGGGCCTAGATAGCAGAGCCAGTGCGAGCCTCTGCGAAGCAGAGGTGACGCACTGGTGTATAAATGAATGAGAGAGAAACTCAAAACCAAAATCATTCAAAATTTCAATTTTTCGTGTAGTGTTGATGATTTCTGTATCATCAACCATTGATGAACTCTATATTCTATATAGCCCGTAGGCTAAATGGTGAGCTACTCACTCTTGAGTATCTAATCACTCAAGAGTGAGTGGTACCCGTGCGCCAGGAGTGTAGCCAATCGGTGGCATCTCCTTTTAAGCACCAACTCGTGTACATTGTACCTTTTACTCGGTTCAACTCCGCCTTCCTTCGTATATAAGGAACCTCCGAATGTATTAGGGGTTGCTCCCCGGTCCACACCGGGACACCTCACAACTCTTCTCGAATAATCTACGCCCGTGCGAATAGACCTTATTCCACAACTCGTCTACCCCCTAATCACTTGGTATCCATAAAATTGGTGCATCGGCCAGTGATTTTCCTTGTATTTCCTCGGCGTTTCCTTCTAAGGACCCAGGAAATCAAGGCCTAAGACCCGCGTGGCAGGCTCTATTGCCAACTATTCGACTCTCGTGATTGCTGGTTCACCCACTTTCGCGACTAAGAGTCTTACTAAGCTGTCAGGTCCTATCCACAGCTTAGTAGAGGTTTCTAGCTGACTGACTGGTTCATCCACAGTTAGCGACAGACTCCTCGCACTCTCGGCTACTAATTAGCCAATATTCGACTCTAGTAATTGTTGGTTCATCCACCTTTACTAATACGAGTCTTGCTAAGCTATCAGGTCCTATCCATAGCTTAGCAGAGGTTTTCTAATTAATTGACTGGTTCATCCACAGTTAGTAACAAAACTCCTCGAAATTTTTTTGGCTTCCATTAACCAAAAAAGACTCTGTGATTGCTGGTCCATCCACTTTCACAACGAGAGTCATCTTGCGAAGCTATCAGGTCATACCTATAGCCTAGCAAAGAGGTTTTTCTTGCTAACTGACTGGTTCATCCACAGTTAGTAACAGAAATCCTCGAAATTTTTTGGCTTCCGTAACCAAAAAACACTCTGTGATTGCTGGTTCATTCACTTTCACAAACGAGTTTCACCTTGCGAAGCTATCAGATCATATCCATAGCTTAGCAAAGAGGTTTCTAGCTGACTGACTGGTCCATCCACAGTTAGCAACAGAAATCCTCGAACTTTTTTTGGCTTCCATTAGCCAAAACACTCTGTGATTGCTGGTCCATCCACTTTCACAAACGAGTTTCATCTTGCTAAGCTATCAGGTCGTATCCATAGCTTAGCAAGGAGATTTTCTAGCTGACTGACTGGTCCATCCACAGTTAGCAAAGAAATCTCAACTTTCCAAGCTCATTCACGATTGGTTCACCGATCTTGAGCTTTGGATCGTTACATTCACGGGACAGGTTCCAACACCTTACCGTCCAGTACAGCGCACAAGCCAACCAGGCGCGCTTGCTGACAGCTAGTAGACGCTCGGCACTCAATTGCCAGCTCACTAGAAAGCTTCCTTGCAACCAGTAGGACAGCTATCGTATCGAGGCCAGCCCTGCTGTCGCCCTCAAGCCGAAGCGATCAACAAAGAAAAGGATACACACTTCCAAATTGGAACGCTTGGAATTACCACACCAGCGCACGACTCTACCCCGTGCAGCAGAAAAGAAAATGGCATCGCTCCAGCTTTTCAAGATCAGGATTAACAACGCCTGCAAACTCGTGAAATCCCACGAGTCACAAATCGAAAATATTGATGTCCCCTGCACATTCCCCACACTGAAAGAAGAATGTGAACAGTACATAAAAGAGAAAACGGGACTGATAACCAATCTTCTCAACTCTCTACACAACGCAGTGAAGCTTCAGGAGACGCAGATCAACTCCGCGATCGAGTACATCAGCGCACGGAATGAGGAAAAAGAAAGAGACAAACTGATGATGGAGCTCAGCAAGCACCTAGAGATGGAGTCACTTGACCTGGAAGTGATTGTAGTGCAGTGGCGGACAAGGATAGAGTTCAGGCAGCATGAACTTAAAGAAGAAGACGCACTTCCGCACTGCGATGCTCCCAGCATACCGAGTCAACCAAGTAGTGATAATGGACAAGCTTGGATTCCAGAACGTAATAAAAGGCAGATCAAAATCCGAAAACCACTGCTGGAAATCCTTACCGTTCTCGGGCAACTTCCGAGAATTTAATAGCTTCTGGACCGTCTTCGAATCTCTCATCCACACTGATGAGGAACTATCGGACACAGACAAATTCCTCTTCCTGAAGCAAGCACTGAAGGGGAAAGCAGCAGCCACTTTGAGCTGCATACCCGTCATCGGAGACAGATATCAAACAGCGACAGATATCACTCTATTATAAAAGAATGGCAACGGAAAAGTGAACTTTTTCGCACCGCCTGTGTTTTTCGCCACAGGATCAAAATACCGTAATCCAAAATTGAAATCAAACTTGGCCTAAATTTTTGCAGGCTTTGCAAAAAGAGTTCACTTTTCCGTTGTCATTCTTTTATAACATCAACGTTTCCTTTGCCGTAGCTTTTAATTTTCAGTGATCCGTTGCCATTCTTTTATAACATCAACATTTCCTTTGCCGTAGCTTTTTTTTTTTCAGTGATCAGTGATGGCAACCAGTTTTCTATATTTGTGGCGCCATTCTGGAAGTAGATTGTCGCAAGCCCCGGTTAGGTGGCCGCGAACACCTACTGCAGTACGGGAGGATGAGAATAGGTGGCCGCCAACGCCCACTGTAGTATGGGAGGATGATAAGGTGAGGCACTTTTGAATTGGTTTCAAAAAGGAAATGCTGAAAAAACCCGTCGAGTATAGTATCTTGAAGAAACATTTCGATCGCTCTGCCAATATGGCAGATATACTTATAAACGAGATCGAAAAACTACCCAGGGCCTCAGATGATCCGAGAAGTTGCCGAGACACTTTCGAAGCAATCAACTCAAGGATAATTCACCTGGAGCAAACGGGAGCAAAGATGAACGCAGACAGACTTTGGCGTCGAATAATCTTTTCCAAATTTCCCGAATCCATCTGTACGACCGCCATCCAGAATGAAACGGTATATACAAGATGATTCATTTGATGTTAGCGAAATCCTGAACACCATAGGCCCCGGTCAGACTTCACGCGACTTAATCGTCGCGATCTAATCGCCAAGATTTCCATTCATTTTCATTTCACATTCAAAAATTTCGGGCTGGAAAAGTATCACAACCGAATGCAAGTTGATCAGCATGGTATGATGTTGTAACAGTTCTCTCCTCGCGATTCA